TCCATTCTTTTCCAGACCCAAGGCTATCTACTCCACTCCTGGTGGCTGTCACCCTGGGCCCAAAGCTACTGCTGCTCATCACTATCTCTGCCATCTACGGCCACAAGAAGCAAGGGCCTGACTGTAAGTTGTGGGTCAGGGAGGACAGGCCAAGGTCAGTCCCAGAGGGAGCAAGGTCAGGAAAAGTCAGCCCACAGGTCACACAAAGTCAGTGCCCAACTGGAGTAAAGAGCATGTGACACACCTCCCTTGATAACCTCCCTTATCCTCAGGAGTCTCAGGAATCCCACCTCCCTGAGGTATGTGGGGGGGGTGCTTTAGCCTATAAGAGGTGGGTGGGGTCAAAGACTGTCAAAGACTGTGCACAGAGTCTAAGGGATTCTGGGAAGGAAGTGGGCAGAGGGGCTGAATGAGAGGCAGCTGAGTGTGAGGAACCCTTGGAGACCATCTCTAAATTATTTGAGTACTGGGCTCCTTCAAGCACAAGGAGTCCACGTTTAGGAGCAGGTCATGAGTGTTCCACCTTCATGAGTGGGATTAGAGAAGAGGGGTTCTTACAGAAGAGCCCCCCCAGGGCTCCCCACTTTGACCACATGAGGACACAATGAGAAATCTGTAGAGGGCTCTCTCCCCAACAGGATGGCTCCATGATCTCAGACTCTAGCCTCCACAACTATGAGCAAGAACTTTCTTTTGTTTCTTGGCCACCCAGTCTGGGATATTTTGTTATAACTGCATGAATGACTAAGACTGATGATAACCGCACATATAAAATAAATATCTTTGAGCCCATATTGATATAAGCAAATAACTGAATAAATTAATAAACTGAGAAGAAAAAAATGTCCTGTACAGAAAAGTCCCAAATGATTTATGTAGATACTTCACCCTCAGAGGGGGAGCCTAACTGCCTACTCCTGGAGTGCAGTCACTTGTGGTAACTACCCTCCAAAGAAGACAGAATGGAAAGGAGGAAAAAGGAGTAACTACAGAGGGGACAACTGAAAAATACAGTTCAGCCAGGTGATCACGAGTTCACCAATAGTCACAAACCACGGCCACAGCGTGTATCCTGGATTAATGTGATGAAAACAGCACTTTTCCTCTGTGACCTTCCTCCCCAAGCCCATCACCCCAGTCTGCTTATGAGAAAAGCATCTAACAAATTGCAATGAGGGACAATCCATGATATACTTGAGCAGCATTCCTCAAAACTGTCAGGCCATCACCAACAAGGAAAGTCCAAGAAGCTCTCACAGCTGAGAGGAGCCTAAAGAGACATGACAAAAAAAATGTAATGTGGTATCCTCCATGGAATTCTGGAACAGAAAGGGACATGGGGTAAAAACTAAGGGTATTTCTTCTGGACTGAATATTTGTGTCTCTCCAATGTTCATGTGTTGAAATGTAATATCCAGTGTGATTGGATTTGGAGGTGGAGTCTTAGACAGACAGGTAATGAGGTCATGAGGGTGGTGTCCTCATGAATGGGATCACTGCTCTCATGAAAAGGGGCCAGATAGCCAGCTCACCCTATCCACCACGTGAGAATGCAAGTAGTTGGCAGTCTGCAACTGCAAGGAGGGTTGTCATCACAACCCAACTATCCTGGCACCCTGATCTCAGACTTCCAGCCTCCAGGACTATGAGAAATAAGTTCCTATTGTTTCAAGGCAACCAGTTTATGCTGTATTGTTATAGCCACCCAAGCTAAGACAAAATCAAAATAAACTACAGATTTTGGTTAATAATAATGTACCAATATTGGTTCCCTAATTATAATAGATGCAACAAATTACTGTAAAATGCTAAAAAGAGGGGAAACTGTATGCAGCTATAGATTGGAACTCTGTGTGATTGTGGTAATTTTTCTCTAAATGTAAAACTGCTCCAAAAAAGTAACTGTATTAAAAAAAAAATGTCAACATCTTGTCCTCAGATGTGTGTCTGCCTCTTGCATCCCCTTGGAGGGCAATTTAAGGAAATGTGTGGTGGGGGATGTCTGTGTTTCTATACCCAAGTTTTATCTTACTTGACAAGTCTAAGGTCCCTCCTCCTTCCTCAGTCCTCTGCTAGAGCTCACTCCAAAGCCAGAGATCCCAGAAGAACCTGCTTCTCAGTCACCCACAATATTCATACTAAATGTTTCCAATTAGTAAAGACCAGGTTAGACCAAGTGGGGTAAGGGAACTCTGGGCCCTTGAGTGAGGTGGGTTAGCTTTAAGACCTCCGTGGGGGATGCAGTTAATCCATGTCCTGAGCCCAAGGAGTTGAGGTGGAAGGGGCTGTGCAGAGGGTGGTGGAGGCTGTGATGCACCAGGCCTGAGGAGATGCCCCTTAACTGTCAGCTCTCTTTGGGATGGTCTCCGCTAAGGAGAGCTACCATGCCCAAGGTCATGCCTGGGACATGGCCACATCCTGTGGCTCATCAACATGGGGATGTAAGGGTCCAGCCTCTCAACCCAGCTCAGGAGAACTCCAAAGGAACATCCTAGTATCAGAGCTCCACGGGAGATCAGCTGAGGTCTTCATTGGGCCTTCACTGCAGCTCAATTTCTAAACAATTCCTCTCCCTTCTCCTCCTAGCTACCATTGGATCCTAAAGTACTCCCTGAAAATGACCTGCTTGTTAATATTCATCTCAGTGATTGTTTCCCAGGGAACCTGATGTGGAAGAGAGAAGCTGTGGTGGGTACCAGAAAAGGTGGAGATCCATTTGTTTCTAGGGGCCATGCCAGTCATGGAATGATGGATTGTTTACACTACCACATACCATTTACTGTATATCATATGCCATATACCACATACCAAATACATGTCATATACAATATATTGTATACTATATACCACATACCATGTACCACATACCACATACCATATGCCATGCACCATATACCATATACCAAACAGTCTTACTGTACAAGAGCAATGAGAATTCACAAAACGGTTTATGCAAGAGAGGGGTGTACTCAGATCTGTGTTGTAGAAGACCACCCTTGATGAAGGAGAAGGAAGAGCTTACAACAGGCAAAAGAGTTGAGATAGCCTACTAGGAAGTAATAGTTTTTATTCAGGCAAGAGATGATGATGGAGATAGAGACATAGATTCTAGAGGTTAGTTTAGGAGGTAAAACTAATAGAGGCTGGTGGGGGACAGACACGAGGGGACGAGTGAGGGTTTAGAATATGGGTCCTTCTTGGTTTGACCAAATGGGTAGAGGATGTGCAACATACTGAACAGGGTGTAAGGGAAGAAGAGAATGTCCAGACTGCAGACTATGAACTCAGTTTTGAATATTTGAGCTAAATAAATGAAAATTTCAAAGTAAAAGTTATACAGTTCAGCCACCAAGAAGTGGGTTCAAGATTTGAACCTAGATTGCATCTGTTTGCAAAGCCAGTGCTCTTGACAATCAAGGCACTAAAAATCCCAGGGTCTGAAGAGTTTAGACTGGAATGGAAGGTTTGAAGTCTGCTGGAGGTGCTTTGAAGGGGAGGATGCTGGAGGTTGGAGGAAAGATCCTGTCCAGCTCTCAGCAGGGGCCATGGATGGCTTCCCAGCATGGAATTCCTCATTCCAGAACAATGTGATAAGATGGTGACATCACGGGGGGGGGCAGTCTTGTCATCTCCTATAAGCAGTTTAGGCCTGTTCTGCATTCTCCTCTTGTTCTAACACCTCTCCTGGCCTTTACATCCGGTCGATATCTAAGAGGATGTGGAGCTAACAAGGAAGCAATAGCAAAATAGCCCTAACATTCAGTGCCTGAGTATGGACTGGTGGACATTAGAGGGTCACTAGCTGAGTGTGGGCTGAGTGTACTGGACATAACCTTGGTGGTTTGATAGAGCTCATTCCAGAGGTGAGAGGAGGAGGCCAACATGCTGGTTCCACTCTCATTCTGAGAGCATTCCTTCTGTCCCTCCGCTCCTTTCCTCCAGAGCTAGCCCAGACGCAGCACAGACAGCAGAGGCAACCCTCACCTTCCATGTGTGTTGCTTTCCCTCTTGCAGAGTGTTCCCCCAGGTCCACCTTCCTTTTAGCACCCTCCATCCTCTAAATCACAAATCATCACCATCTCCAAAACTCTAACCTCTTTTCCACACCATGTCTCTGGGCTTCTACCTCAGCAAGGGTGCAGGTTGGTGAGACCTCAGATGGGATGAGGCTCAGGAATGAGCATAAGCTTGTGGATATCATGCCCTTATCTCTGGAAATCCCAAGCAATTGGAGCAGGAGCTTCTCAGTTTGTGGCCACCTTGCCTGTCCATTTGATAATCTCAAAGAAAAAGTGTCAAAACTCCCATGGTAATTCCTTCATCATAATCCCCTTCCTCTGACATCATGGAGGCAGGGAGTGTCTTCTCTCCTCAAAGCAGAGAGTACTGGGCCTCTCCAGGACAACACTCAGACAGAGAAGGCTCCAGGGGCCACCACAATGCCTGTCCCTGCCTCCCCTCTGTGCCCACCTCTGCCATCCCTGCTGCTGACTCTGCTGCTGGGATTTACAGGGGAGTGGGGCCTCAGGTGTATGTGGTGGGGATGCCCCTATGCCTGTTTACTGCATTCTTTTCCCCTGTTTACCTAGAATTTCTTGAGGGGAGAATTTCTCTGTCCTAGCCAGAATTTATAGAACTAGACTGGAAGGGCTCCCAGCTCACAAAAATTCCCAGTGGCTGTGTCTATTCCACACCCTTTGTTCGGTAATGGGTATGCACAAATGGTCACAGAGCTGAGCACAGTACACACATCAGAACTCTCATCCCCCAGCCCCTAGGAACAAAGAATCTGTCTTTTCAATTTATTACCACCACACAGATGCTACCTTTCAATGGACAACAAATGTTGGAGAACATGAAATTATAAAGCAAGAAAAGAATCTACAATGCTTCCATCCAAAAATAATCACTGTTAAAAATCTGCAGAGGTTTCGTGCTCATGGAATATTGGCCGGAAATGGTGCCTAGAGGTCTCCCTGGGTCAGTGATAGAAGCTGAACCCTGCAGGCTCTCCAGAGATCTAAGCATTTCTGCCTCTACTTGCTGAAAAAGCTAAACAAGCATGTGGAGTCTTCTCCAAGGCCATTGGTGCAAATAACCAAAAGAGTCAACTCAATGTTGGAGAAGAACAAACTAGAAGATTGATACCATTGGACTATAAGACTTACTAGAAACTTATAGTAATTGAAACAGTGGCATTGGTGAGAGAATAGACACACAGATCAGTGCAATAGAATAGAAAGTCCAGAAATAGACCCACATAAATACAGCCAACTGATCTTTGAGAAGGACCAAGATAATCATTTCAACAAACGTTGCTGGAGCAATTGGACATCTGGACATCCACATGCAAAAAAAAAAAATTGCTTCTACATACAGACCTAACAGTCTTCAAAAAATAACTCATATATAAAACACAAAACTATAAAATTCCTAGAGGATATCATAGAAGAAAATCTAGATGACTTTTGATATGGATTACTTTTTTTAGATTGATTTCATATTTTGAAGCAGTTTTAGTTTCACACCAGAATGGAGCAGAGGTGCAGAGATTTCCCATACTACTGCCTGTCTGCACACAGCACAGCTGCTGCCATTATCACTATCCTTCACCAGAGTGATACATTTATTACAAATTATGAACCTACATTGAAATGTCATTAACATCCAAAGTCCATAGTTCACATTGTGGTTCACTTAGTATTGCTATGGGTTTGCACAAATATATAGTGATATCCACTTTTATAGTATTATAGAGTAGTTTCATTGCCCTAAAAATCCTCTATGCTCTGTCTTTTTACCTCCTTCCACCCTAATCCCTGGCAATCACTTATATATTTATCTTCACCATAGTTTTGGCTTTTCCAGAATGTCATATAGTTGGAATCATGCAGTATGCAGGCTATTCCTTTCAATTAATACTAAGCGTTTAAGTTTCTTCCATATCCTTTTAGGACTTGCTAGCTTATTTCTTTTAGCACTGGGTAATACTCCACTCTCTGGGTGTACCACAATTTCTTTATTCATTCACCTACTGAAGGTCATCTTGGTTGCTTTCAAGCTTGGCAATTATAACTAAAGCCGATATAAGCTGTGAGGAGGAATCTGTTCCAGGCCTCTCTCCTAGCTCCTGGTAGCCTCAGACCATCCTCAGATTGTACATGGCATTCCCCGTGTCTTCACATCATCTTCCCTCTGTGTATGACAGCTAAGCTAAGCTGTGCCTGAATTCCTGGTCCACAGGAACTATGAAATAATATGTTTTTTAAACCAGCAAATTTGTGGTAATCTGTTGTTCAGCAAGTTCCCCTGTTTATATAGCACCAACTTTGCGTCTCACCTGGATAGAGAACTGTCATAACTTCAAGGGAGCAGAGGAACCAACATCCAAGCAGAATAGTGATGGGACCTACACCTTGGAAAGCTTGCATTTGGTGAATGTGTTGGGGCAGGAGTCTGAGCGGGTCCTCAACTATAAGGTGCAGCATGAGGCACAACCTCCCATCCAGGCCAACTTCATGCTGTCTGCAGCAGCTCATGGCACACACAAGCCCATTGGAAGCTCAGGTAAGCTCACCTCTACTGCTCTGAGCTACTGGGTCACCCTTGTCTCCTGAGCAGCGTGAGTCAGAGTCCCATTTGCCATCTCCTTTGGCCTATTGGTAGGTCCAGAGATGACTGTCCTTATGTTTGTGGCTTTCCTTCTGGGCTTCAAGGTGCTGGTGATGATTTTCATAGTCACCTACATCTGCAGGTGGCAGAACCTGTAACAGGTGAGTTGGGGGCAGGCCTTAGTACATAAGGAGAGAGGTCATGGTTACCATCATAGGCTGATCAGAGGAGTCCAAGGTGAGTCCACTATTTCACACAGCACATACCAGGGGGATCCAGCCTCAAGAAAAGTTTGAGAACAGTCTTGTTTTCTCTAAATGTCTGTTGGAGTTCTCAGAGGCTTCTAGCTCTCATGTATCCTGCAGTGCCCTGGGGTTTGGTTTTTCATTAAAGTTCCTTGGAATCCTGGGTGGGGGTCCAAGGTGTGAAGGTGGGATGGAGGTCAAAGCTTTGAGCTCCAAACTCCAAAGAGTGCCCCCATATACTGTGAAATATGTCAAATTGCACAGGACTTATTTTTGGAATAAATAAGAAAAATAATGCTAAACTTTACTAATGGAGACTACAAGGGACTGGAAGGTTTTAACTAGTGGCAAAGATGATTGTGGGTGTGGGGGAGTTCAGAGCTCAGACAGAGGGGCTGGGCTGTAGTGAGTAGGGGTCTTTTTTCTGATATGCACCATGATTCCAGGCATGCAGAGTGCCTGCCACATAGTAGATACTCAATAAGTATTTGGGGAATACAAGAATGAATGAATCAATGAATGAATGAATGAATGACTTTTTCCCCAACTGCTCCTGTATGCTCTGCAATACATTGCCTCCCACTGTGTCCGAGAAACTCACATGGGGGGAGAAGCTGTTGCCCCCCATTCCTACGCTGTACATGCTCCCTTTCTCACACCCCCTGATGTACCTTCTCTCTGAGCTTCAGAGCTGAGTCAAGGATGGACTTTGGTCTGAGGGACCCGGGGATGTCTGGACCCTGAGGCACTGAGCTTCAAACTGGCCCTGCCTCTGCCCAAAAGAGAATCAAGTGGGTCAAGGAAACAAGGTTTACAGGGTGCCTGGTTGGCTCAGTCGGTTAAACATCTGCCTTCGGCTCTCGTCATGATCCCAGGGTCCCGGGATCAAGCCCCACATTGGGCTCTTTGCTCAGCAGAGACCATGCTTCTCCCTCTCCCTCTGCTGCTCCCCCAGCTTGTGTGCTCTCTCTCTCTGTCTGTCAAATAAATAAATAAAATCTTTAAAAGAAAAAAAAAGAAAACAAGTTTTCCATTCTCCTCCTGATCAGGAACGACCCTTAATTTTCAGAGCACATTTTACTTTTTTAAAAATTTTTTTATTGTTATGTTAATCACCAAGAGCACATTTTACTTTTACATTTTATTTTTTGAAAGTTAATTCCAGTATAGTTAAGATACAGTGTTATATTAGTCTCAGGTGTAGAATATAGTGCTTCAACAATTCTATACATTACTCAGTGCTCATCCTGACAGGTGTATTCTTAATCCCCTTCACCAATCACCAACCCCGCACTCACCTTCTGGTGACCATCAGTTTGTTCTCTATAGTTAAGTCTGTTTTTGGTTTGACTCCTTTTTTTCCCTTTATTTATTTTGTTTCTTCAATTCCGCATATAAGTGAAATCAAATGGTATTCGTCTTTCTCTGAGTGACTTATTTTGCTTAGCTTTATACTCTCTAGCTCCATCCATGTTGTTGCAAATGGCAAGATTTCATTCTTTTTTATGGCTGAATATATTCCATTATATATATACCACATCTTCTTTATCCATCCATCTACTGATGGACACTTGGGCTGCCTCCATAATTTGGAGGAGCACATTTTACTTTTATACAGAGCTTCCCCAAGTATGATTTTATTTTAACACCTATATATTTTGAAATCACTACATGAAATAAGCATTTTTTGGTTCTGAAATATATAAAAAATCCTTGGTCCTACCACCCTATCTTTGCAAAATATTAACATTCTGCCATTATGGTCTTCTCTTTCTTTTAAAAACACTGTCCTCAATTTGGAGTTTATCATTCTCAAATTTGATTTTATAATTTTATAACATTATAAATCCTTAACTAATTTATATCTTGTATAAATGCTGTTATACTGTATACAACATTCTGGAATTTTATATTTATGCTCAACACAGTGCCTGGTAATTGTTCATGCTGATATACATTGTTCAATTTTATCAATTTCCCACGGCTCTATAGCTCTCTATTATAAGCATATCCTACAAGTTAAGGATTTATCTCAGGATGGTATGAAAGCTCTATCTGCTGTTTGGGTAATACAACTTTGCAATGAGCATTTTTCTCTTTGTTTCCTTGGGCTCACGTGGTAGAGTCCCTCTAGCTCCTCTTTGCTGTGGTCCACAGAGCAGGGGTGTTAGTATTGTTTGGGAGCTTTTGTAATACAAAAAAAGGGGGGCTTTTAATTTTTTAATTATGTTATGTTAGTCAAAATATAGTACGTCATTAGTCTTTTTTATAATTTTATTAGGTTAGTCACCATATGCTACATCATTAGTTTTTGATGTAGTGATCCACGATTCATTGTTTTCGTATAACACCCAGTGCTCCATGCAGTACGTGCCCTTCTTAATACCCATCACTGGGTTAACCCATCCCCCCACCCCCTCCCCTCCAAAACCCTCGCTTTGTTTCTCAGAGTCCATAGTCTCTCATGGTTCGTCTCCCCCTCCGACTCCCCCCCTTCATTTTTTTCCTTCTTTCTCCTAATGTCCTCCCTGCTATTCCTTATGTTCCACAAATAAGTGAAACCATATGATAATTGACTTTTTCTGCTTGACTTATTTCACTTAGCATAATCTCCTCCAAGTCCCATCCATGTTGATGCAAAAGTTGGGTATTCATCCTTTCTGATGGCTGAGTAATATTCCATTGTATATATGGACCATATCTTTTAATTTTTGATGAAGTTTTGCTCTTTCCATATACCTTTGACCTAGCTTTATTTTTCTGAGCTGTATGTGTGTGGTGTGTGTGTGTGTGTTTGTGTGTGCACGTGTTATAAATGGGAGGGATCTTATATTTTTTCTCCCATTGGGATAAATTATCCAGTACCCACTGATTGGCACAGCCGCCTTTGCCATATAGCAAACCACTCCATTAATGTGTGGGTCTTACTGCATTCTTTTTATGGGGTCTTATTGTCATTTATCTACTTGTCTATCTCTGTCCAAACTACCATACCCTATAAGTCATGGGGATGAAAGTACAGCACAGGGGAATACAGTCAACAGTATTGGACTAACATTGTATGGTGACAGCTGGTGACTACACTTACTGTGGTGTGAGCACTGCATAATGCTTAGAATTCTTAAATTACTGTTGTGGACCTAAAACTAATATAGCACTGTATGTCAACTTTAATAATAAAATTTTTAAAAAATTTTTTAAAAATAAAATTTGCCCTGGCATGAAAAAAAAAATAGACCCATACATAATATGTATTTGGCCAAGTGATTTTTTTAAAAAGTTGCCAGAGTAATTCAATGTGGAAAGGATCATCTTATTAACAAATGGTGTTGAAACAATTAGATACTCATATGTAAAAGAAGAAGAAGAAGAAGCAGAAGAAGAACAAAAACAACAAGAAGAATCTTGACTGTTTCCTTGTAACATACGCAAAGTTTAATATTGTCTTAAAATAGTTACCTTATAGTAATATTATTGTACATTTTACACCAAAATACTAAAAAAAATTAATATGATCAGATGGATCACAGACCTAAACTTAAGACCTTAAACAGTAAAGCTTCTAGAAAAAGCCATAAGAAAAAAACAAAATGAAATCTTTATAGTGTTTGGTTCATAGAGACTTTTATTTTTTATTTTTTAATTGTAATTTTTATTTTTTATTAACGTATACTGTATTATTAGTTTCAGAGGTAGGATTTAGTGATTCAGCAGTTGCATACAACACCCAGTGCTCATTACATGAAGTGCCTTCCTTAATGCCCATCACCCAGTTACCCCATCCCCCCACCCACCTCCCCTCCACCAACCCTGTTTGTTTTCTATAGTTAAGAGTCTCTTATGGTTTGTCCCCCTCTCTGTTTTCAACTTATTTTATTTTATCTTCCCTTCCCCGTGTTCATCTGTTTTGCTTCTTAAATTCCACATATGAGAATCACCCTTTTTATGTGCATAAAAGATTTTACCAGAACTCCATCAAAGAACATATATGAGCATCAATGAGAGTTTTGCTGATGCAAAACGTATTTGTTTTTATAAACAGCTTTGTCTTAATTAGAACAGCCTTATATTAAGTTTCGATACCTCTTTTGGGCTAAACTTCCCACCTTGGACCTGTTGCTTAGAACTGTTATGGCTCTATTTGGCCCAGATGCATTTTAGAATCACTTTGTCAACTTTCATTAAAAACCCTTTTACAATTATGATTTGACTGCATTGATTGTATATTCACGTGAGCAAATTGACATCTTCCAATACTGAGTTTTGTCACTCATGGACATGAAGTGTGTTAGGTTTTCTTTGATGACTTTCGGTTCACCAGTTCACAGGGCTTTTTGGTCCCATGATGGTCTTATGCATCCCTACTTAGAGCTCTCTTTAATACTTTCTAGTTTATGAAATCTTTAAATACTATTATTACTGTTTGCAGTGGGTTTGGGACTGCTGAATGTGAATGTAATTGAGTTTTGAACATGGATCTTATATTCAGCAAGCTTATCACACTCAGACTAGTGCTCATAGTATAGACATTCTCTTCTGTGTAACTCTTACATCAATCAACTCACCTAGATTAGTGTTTACCTTCATTAAAGTTACATATGCACGTGCTTCAAGAGGCAAATAGTTCTATACCTTCTCCATATGAAAACTGGAGCCTCCCGACCTCCCTCTATTTTCCACCTCCCAGAGGCAACCATTTTCCACTCCTCTAATTGATTTTTAACTGATTCTTCTAGATTCTATAGCCAGATCTCATAGAGCATGCTTACATTGTCTCAGCTTGACTTCTCACCCATAGGCATTATTCACTAACCTCCCACTCTGGATGATGGAGATTCAATGCTTTGTTACTATAGACCTCACACCACATGTACGTATTTCTACCCCACCACCTTAATATTTTATTTTGGATTACATCATCGTCAGTATCCACATTATAATGGCAATGACATTGTGTTTTATAGCTTAATCCTTTTTTTCTTTCAAGATTATATTTGAAGTTAGTTCACATATAGTGTAGTATGAGTTTCAGCGGTAGAATTTAGTGTTTCACCAGTAACATATAACACCCAGTGCTTATTACATCAAGTGTCTCAACCTTGTAGCATTCCCAGCTTTTGTTTGTGTTGATCCGCTCATGTGTATTTTGTGCAGCCACCACCATATTCAGGGTACACAACAGTTTCATGGTCTCAGAGCTTACCCTTGTGCTAGCCTCTCTTAGTGACAGCCAGCCCCACCACCCAAACCTCTGGCACATGCCAGTCTGTTCTCTATAACTTCGAGAATGTTGTGGAAGTGGAATCACACAGTGTGGACATTTTGAGATTGATTTTGTTCACTCCACATGATGCCTTTGGAAACTTACAAGTTGTGCACATGCAGATAGTTATTCCTTTTTATCGCTGAGTAATAGTTCCTGGTAGGAATGCACCAGTTTGTTCAACCATTCACTTATCACTGGCCATTTTGCATGTTTCCAATTTTTTTCCATTACAAAGAAAGCTGCTCTAAAATTTCATGCAGAGATTGTGTGAAGCCATGATCTTCATTTTGCTCAGTTAAATGCCTGGGAGTGTGATCTCTGGGACACAAAACCCACTTCTTCTCCTGGAAGAATGGAGGAAATGATGCTTTTTGTTGGAGGCAAGCACACAAAACTTCTCTCTTTTTTTTAAGATTTTATTTCTTTTTTAAGTAATCTCTGCACCGAACTTGGGGCCCAAACTCACAAGAGCAAGATCAAGAGTTGCTCACTCCACCAACTGAACCAACCATACATCCTAAGCACATACAATTTCTGAGGTCCACACTTCACTGTGCCTGTGGGCTAAGTTTACCATTCCATCAATAAAGGGTTGGAATAGAGAGTCATTTCTGGAACAGACCTCATTCAACCCCAAAATTTTTTAGGCCCTGACAAACCCATTTTCATCCAGCTCAGCAGCTCTTGGTGGAGGCTGGTGCAGAATGAGGCCACAAGCCAGCCACCTCCAAGTGTCCTGGGCTCAGGAGATGGAGCACAGACCCAATTGCAGCTGTTTCTTGGCTTGGGCCTCCCAAGTGGAGAATCCCCATAGACCTCAAGATGGGGGGAGGGGCCCAGTGCAGAAAGCAGAGGCCCCAGGCGGGCAAAAAGCATCAGTTCTGCTGGGCCTGTCCATACTCTCTGAAATGTAAGAAGAATTACTTCCAAATTTTTTCTTGTGATTGAGTTCCAGCAACAAAGCATTGTGGTCTGAAAATATACAGGGAATAATCTCAATCTCTTGGTATCGGTTAAGACCTGATTTGTGACCCAGTGTGTGGTCTATTCTGGAGAAAGTTCCATGTGTGCTTTAGAAGAATGAGTATTCTGTTGTTTTAGGGTGGAATGTTCTGTATATATCTATGAGGTCCTTCTGGTCCAGTGTGTCATTCAAAGCTCTTGTTTCTTTGTTGATTTTCTGCTGAGATGATCTGTCTATTGCTGAGAGTGGAGTGTGGAGGTCTCCTACTATTAATGTATTATTATCAATATGTCTCTTTATTTTGGTTAACAGTTGGCATATATAATAGGCTGCTGCCATATTGGGGCATAATATTTACAATTATTAGACCCTCTTGGATCTATCCTTGTGGGATAGACCCTTTAAGAATGATACAGTGCCCTTCTGTATCTCTAACTACAGTCTTTAGCTTAAGATCTAATGGATGAAAGACCTCAATGTGAGACAGGAATCCATCAAAATCCTAGAGGAGAACATAGGCAGTAACCTCTTCGACATCGGCCACAGCAACTTCTTTCAAGACACATCTCCAAAGGCAAGGGAAACAAAAGCGAAAATGAACTTGTGGGACTTCATTGAGATAAAAAGTTTCTGCACAGCAAAGGAAACAGTCAACAAAACAAAGAGGCAACCTACGGAATGGGAGAAGATATTTGCAAATGACACTACAGATAAAGGGCTGGTATCCAAGATCTAGAAAGAACATCTCAAACTCAACACCCAAAAAACAAATAATCAAGTCCAAAAATGGGCAGAAGACATGAACAGACACTTCTCCAAAGAAGACAAGAAATGGCTAACAGGCACATGAAAAAATGTTCATCATCATTAGCCATCAGGGAAATTCAAATCAAAACCACATTGAGATACGACCTTATACCGGTCAGAATGGCCAAAATTGACAAGGCAAGAAACAAACAAATGTTGGAGAGGTTGTGGAGAAAGGGGAACCCTCTTACACTGTTGGTGGGAAATCAAATTGGCACAGCCAATCTGAAAAACAGTGTGGAGGTTCCTCAAAAATTTAAAAATAGAGCTACCCTATGACGCAGCAATTGCACTATTGGACATTAACCCCAAAGATCCAGATGTAGTGAAAAGAAGGGCCACATGCACTCCAATGTTCATAGCAGCAATGTCCACAATAGCCAAACTGTGGAAAGAGCCGAGATGCCCTTCAACAGATGAATGGATAAAGAAGATGTGGTCCATATATACAATGGAATATTACTCAACCATCAGAAAGGATGAATGCCCAACTTTTGCATCAACATGGATAGAACTGGAGGAGATTATGCTAAGTGAAATAAGTCAAGCAGAGAAAGTCCATTATCATTATTTCACTTACATGTGGAACATAAGGAATAGCGTGGACGACATTAGGAGAAGGAAGGGAAAAAGGAAGGGGGGAATCAGAGGGGGAGATGAACCATGAGAGACTATGGACTCCGGGAAACAAACCGAGGGTTTTGGAGGGGAGCGGGGTGCGGGGGATGGGTGAGCCCAGTGATGGGTATTAGGGAGGGCATGTACTGCATGGAGCGCTGGGTGTTATATGCAAACAATGAATCATGGATCATTACATCAAAAACTAATGATGTAATGTATGGTGACTAACATAACATAATAATAAAAATAAATTAATTTTAAAAAAAAGTAAGAGGCCCTTCTCACCATGTGAGGCCTTCTCTGCCTGACTTCTGTTTCACAATCCAGAAACAGATTGCTGCCCCACAGCCATGTCACTGCATCATAGACGCTTCCTCTTATATCACGGGAGGGGCGGGTTTTTCTTTCCACAAAACAGAGTCTCCATCTTCCCGCAGAGAGTGTGATCCTCAGGCCTCCACAATGTCAGCCCCTGCCTCCAGGCCCTGCCTTCCTTATCTGCTGCTGGCTCTGCTGTTGGGACTCACAGGTAAGCATTGCCTTGGGGGAGACTCCCCATTCCCTGCCTCCTCAACTTCTCCCTGCTCCTGGATATTTAAGGCCTCCAGGTAAGCACAGATATACTACCCAGATCCTCCATAGAAGGCCAAGGACTGGGTGTCATCTGAGAGCATGAAGTCAGGGATCTGAGCATTTCCTCTATGGATCCATCACCTGCAGCTGGTTACCAGAAGCATCCAAATAGTCGATGCAATTGGTAACAATGACAACTTTGTGTGTGTTCATTGATCTAATATTCACAACATCCTTGCCTGATAGCTCAGACTGTACTCCTGATTTGCAGATGGGGAAACTGAGGAGGAGAGAGGAACCAGCCCAGTGTCACCTCCCTGAGTCAGTGGAGCAGCTGGGATTCCTGTCCAGGCCACTCAAATCAACAGTTCATTCCGTTCCCCATCTTATGCTGCTTGGCTCCTCAGTGGAGGCTAATTGCAGATACATCAGAAAACACAGGGAGGCCAACAGAAGAATAGCCATCACTTATCACACTCAGAGGTCTCCAGAGTTCCACTTATGCTGTATGTACTCACCAACTTTTGTTAATGATGCGCTGGATGTTTCCAATATGCCAAAATTGTTACTGAAGTTTAACATGTATTATAATTTCACTTAATCCTCAAAACAATCTGTATACTAGCATGCTAGGCTACACTTCACATAAACAGGGAATGAACTTGTGTGTGTGTGTGTGTGTGTGTGTGTGTGTGCACGCATAGGAGTGGGCATAGGGAAGGGTTCACCCGTGCATGTGCCCACAGACATGGGATTTTTGAAAACACTTTGTTTTTTCTCCTCATATCACATCCAGTCTATGTGAGATGCACATTGAACTGATGTTTGGTTCCCTATCTCTCAAGTACTCACCCTCTTTTTTAATTCTCTAAACCTACCTCTCACCCTCTACCAAGCTCTTAAGTTAAACAAATTTCTCTCTTGGTAAAACGCATAGAATCTTGTGCATTACTACCTTAGAGATCCTTCCATGCAGTACTCAAGTGGGCAGGGAAAGAAAGGAATAAAAATTCGGAGACTCCTGCCTGTGTGATCTGTATCTATAATTATATCCATATGCATACCACGATCCCAATCATCTAGTGTCCACTGATATTTCCATGCCTCAGGAAATCTCATGAGTGATAACTTTCTAAATTCCTGAGCATTCACCATGTGCCACACACACCTGGAAATGCCTATGTCCATTATGTCCTGTGATCTTTGCATCCAAGGTTGACATTCTTGTCACCCCTACCTTACAGATAAGAAAAGGAGGCACAGAAAGGTCCAAGGTTACTCAGTATAAATGGTAGGGTTAGGATTTGAACCAAGGCAGTCTGATTCTGGATCTCACAGGTCCAACCATTGCTCTTTTCAAACCCTAGGGCCCCACCTCCATCCCATGAGATTTCTGCAGATCTTCTAATCAGTGTGGGGAAGGGTTTGGTGTGGTGAAGAATGTTTGTACTTTGTTTTCTCAGGTGACTCTGCTTTCTGGGTATATGCAACTGTTTCTTTCCTCCAAGTCATCAATGTGGGAAACTCAGCTTCTGATATAATGTCCTGAGAATTTCTCCACTGAAAATAGACTTCCTGGTGTCAGATAGGGGTCACATTGGGCAATTCACACATTATACAAATATTAACTATATACCTACTAGGGGACAAGAACTGTTACATGAACGTAGGGCGTATTGATGAATAAAAGAGACAAAGAAGTGGCCTTTGTAGAAGTCCTATCATAGTGGGGGAAAGGACAGGAGACAATAGACACAACAAGTCAGTAAATAACGTAGAATACAGAAAGTGATGAGTGTGAAGGAAAACATATGACAGTACAGCTGGTTACAACAATGAGAGAATCTTCAGGGTAAGACGTATTTGAACGGGCAGCCTGGGTGGGCATCATAGAGAAGATAGAATTGAGCAAAGATTGTAAGAAGGTGGGGGAGTGAGCCATGTGATTTTCTGGGGGAGGAGCCTTCCTGGACAGCATGGGAACAGCATGAGAGTAGAATCCTCTTGCTCTGCTCAAGGATCTGGGCTTTTATTCTGAATGAAATGGTGACTATTGCAAGGTTTGGAAAACAGAAGTGACATGATCTGGCATGAGTTCTAGAGTATTCTAGCATTTGTTTGAGAATGGAGTACCCCGGGGCATAGACAGAAGCAGCTAGAGCACTCAAGAGCTCATTGCATCCAAGCAAATGAGGAAATGCACCAAGACAGCAGCCAGGAGGAACAGGAAAGCGGTCAGATTGTGGGTGCATGCAGCAGGGGAGCCCTTAGGTGTCCTGGACTTGAGGTGGGAAAGAAAGGCACCCAAGGGTTGGGACCTAAGCATCTGGGAAAATAAAGGTGCCTCAGCTGAGATATGCAAGCATGTGTGGGAAACTGAGTTCGGTTTAGGACATGTTACTGTGACAGGTTTACTTCTATCTGAGAAAAAAGTCAAATGGTGTTTGGAGATACAAATCATAGTTCAGGGGCAAGGCCTGGGCCAGAGATGGAAATAGGAGGATTATAGATACACAAATGGTAGAGTTTTCCCCTTGCCTTGGCCCCTCTTGACTCTCTGATCCCTCTGACCTCTTCCCTCCCATGTTCCTTCATTTCTCTCTCCATGGTGCATTCCTATTTCTTCCCATTTTTGTCCTAGCAGTTCAGCTTGCCGACCCCAATCTTCTTCTCCAGACTTAGAGACCAAAGTACATGTGTTCTTGGCACAACCAAGACCTGCCTGTAATAGCACGTGCCCTCCTTAGGAGGATATTTGGTTGCAAATAATACTAAGAGCATGGGTTTTACCAGCTCACACTCTGCAAGGGTGAACCACAGATTTTCTCCCTGAGGAGTAGTTAAGAAATGGAAAAGAACATTGGGTGTATGAGTCATGACACAGCAGTCTGCTCCTCTGATTTAAATCCCTGCCTGGTTTTTAGGACACTTCAAGTAAGAAGGAATGATTTCATATTTCTTGATGTCTCCAGACACTGGCTAGTCACCAAGGCAGGAAACCCAACTGCAAAGTCAGACCTGCTCTGTGCCACATCACTGAGTGTCTCCGTGTCTTCATCCTCATTTGTGATACGGTCTCACGTTACAGGCTCGTGGTGAGGGCTCCATGCCACGTACATGCAATGTGCCGAGGTCACGGCCCGCTCACGATGTGCACTCAGTGAGCTGTGGATACACACGTGAGGAGACATCCAGGATCACGTCAGGATGATCTTTGTTTTCCCTCCAGGTGTGGCAGGTGAGCCGGAGCTGCAGGTGATCCAGCCTGAGAAGTCAGTGTCTGTCGCAGCTGGACAGACAGCTACTCTGCGCTGCACCCTGACCTCCCTGCTCCCCAGTGGGCCGGTTGAGTGGTTCAGGGGAACAGGGCCAGCCAGGGAGTTAATCTTCGGTTTCAGAGGGGGCCACTACCCGCGAGTGACAAATGTTGCAGACATCACAAAGAGAAACACCACGGACTTTTCCATCCGCATCAGTAACGTCACCCCAGCAGACAGCGGAACCTACTACTGTGTGAAGTTCCAGAGAGGGACCCCTGATGTGGAGTTTAAGTCTGGACCAGGCACCCAACTCATAGTGAGCGGTGAGTATAACCTGGACGTCCTTTATCCCCTGGTTGTGACAACAAGTCAATAAGAATGCACTCCATTGTAAGGATTGGGTGTTGTGGTGGGTGCCCCTGACTTCAGCCCCTTCCATACATCAGGGAGTTGAGGTCTGGGGAGGTCATGCTATTTGCTCAGGTTCACTCGGCTGGGAAATGGTGGAAGTCCAGTCTGCAGGCTCCACTACTCTTACTTTTTCCAATCCTCAGCAGTCCTCCAGGTCCAGGAACGAAGGACTAATAATTTGAGTGACTTGCTCAGTCGTATGGCCCAATGTTACTCCTGCCTCCAGAGCGATCCCCTCCATGTGGCTGACTCCTCTACTCAGCACTTACTGAGCACCTGCTGTGTGCAGGCTCCGCTCTGGGTGCTGGGGAATCAGCAGGGAACAAAACAGGCAACAGCTCCTCTGTCATGAAGCCTACATTCCCTTCCCTTCCTGTGGACGAATGCACTCAGGACAGGGAGGTGGGACAATGTCTTTCTTTCTTTCACCTCTCAAAGAATCACAGTGAGAAGAGGCACAGGCTCACTGTTTACTCTGAGAGCCCAGGTTAGAGAAGATGCCAGAGGTTGGGCATTTGTTGTGGGTCTTCCAGAAAAGCTTCATGCAGTTTAGGGACTGACTCACATAATAGTAACTGAAACTCCCCACAGCCCCTGGACATAGGCATGAAGGTGGCTGTATCCTGATTGTGCAGGTGTTACAGAAGTTCCCAGGGATAATTCCCATGCCTGGGCACCAGCACTAGTACGTGGCTCCACCACCAGGCAGATCTGTGCCTCCTAGGAGAACACTCCTTTCTCTTCCCCAAGCTGCCCACACAGCTGATGCCCTGGATGAGAATGGATGGAGTCAGAAGGGACCATCTCAGCCCCTTTTACAGATGAGGACACTGAGGCTCAGCAGAGATGGCCTGAGCAGGGAAGGAAACCACAGCCTGGCTCACAGCCCTGCTCTCTGCACACTCACTGTGCTGACCAAAGTGGGAGAAAGTTCCAACCCTGTCCTTGAAACTCTTGTAAATCTTGTTCTCTTTTTCAGCAGTAAGCATTAAGAAAACTCACAGGGAGAGGTGGGCTAGCTTTGCACCCCCAGATCAGACAGATATGCAAACATCTTGTAAAGTGTTGAGCCTGTTCCTGGAGGGCATGGCTCCTCACATGTAGGAGCATCAGGAGTCTTTCCCTGTTGTGTGGTGTTGCTCCTTCACTGAGCAGCCTGAGGCAGGAACCTGGACAGAACAGAGGGGCTGGACAATCCCAGCAACACTGGGCACCCCATTCTTGGCTCTGCAGACTGAGGATGACTAGGAAGCACATCCTGGAGGGTGTTTTGGGTCCCCTGAGCAAGAATGCGTATTCTAGACTCAGCTGTCAGGACTCCACATCTTCCCTCTGTTGTAACAGATTTAGCAGGTCTGTGCACCCTGAGTGACCCCTCCCCATAAGTGCTTGCTTGCAGTGGAGAATCTCAGAGGGAGTAGGAGGGTGGCAGGCACTGTCAGGCTGGAGAAGGTGAGACACTTGCTCTGTCATGGATGAAACACATGGAGGCCACAGGAAGTCCCCCTGGGAGGCAGTGGGGAGTGAGGAGCAGCCCCTTTGTAACTGGCCAAAGTCGGTTGGCTCCTTGGTGAGGTAGAGACAGAAACTACCCAGGGGGAGCGCTGGTACCCACAAAGTTGTCTTTATTTGTACAGGTAAGGGATCACAGGGAATAATTTCCAAAGCCCTGATGCTAAACAGGGGCAAGCAGGCTCTATTGAGTAGGGTTGGGATGAATATTCCGAGGGGGATTTTAACAGTATAATGAGGCTGAGGTTACTGTCAACCATTTTCTGATTCATCTGCTGCTTTCCATCTGCATTTCATTGATAAATTCTAAGCAAAACTGCTTGTATTCTCTTACTTGCCCCTCCCTGCAACCCCGGGAAAGAGAAAGGCATACTGTCCCATGTCACAGAGGAAGAGCCACGCGGTGCCACGGCCACACCTCCCGTGGGCTGGCCAGCCTGGTCCTGGCTTCCATGGGGGTCCCGCTCCACCCCTACTTCCCCCTGCAGGGACTGCTGCACAGGGTCTCTGAACTCAGTGAGGTTTGCAGGGAGGCGGCTATGATGGTTGATACCAAGAGTGAGACCCATCAGAAATGTCGTTCCTGTGGCCAGATCAGAGGGAAATCACCTGGCAGAGACGAGAAGGGGGACTTGAACTCCGGCCTGGAACTGCACCTGGGCCCTGCTCCCCGACTCAGAGTTCAGCTCTGGAACCTCGGGTCCTCCTCTGTGGGATGAGGAGATGACACGGCCCTCCCCACACGATCAGAAGGGCGGAAGGTTCTCCACAGTGTCACACACGTACCCTTAGTGCTGATGACCACAGTCATGCTTACTGTTCATAAATGCTCCTCTTGTAGCCAAACCCTCTCCCCCCGTGGTGTCGGGTCCCACGGCCAGGGCCTTGCCAGAGCAGACCATCAACTTCACCTGCAAGTCCCACGGCTTCTCCCCCAAAAACATCACCCTGAGATGGTTCAAAAACGGGAATGAGCTGGCAGCCCTCCAGACCACCGTGGACCCAGAGGGAAACAGCACTTCTTACAGCATCTCCAGCACAACCAGGCTGGTGCTGGCCCCGGGGGATGTTCGCTCCCAAGTCATCTGCGAGGTGACCCACGTGACCCTGCAGGGGGGCCCTCCTCTTCGTGGGACTGCCAACTTGTCTGAGGTCCTCCGAGGTAAATTCTCTTCACCCCAGCCCAAACCGGTCTGGCCCCCAAATCTGAGCCTGCCCCTCCCCCCACTCTCTGCCCCAGGCGGTCCATTGCCTGGACCCCAGGGATCCAATGACAGACCCTCCCAATCACCCTCCGTCTAGATGTTCACTCACTTCCTACTGTTTTCATGATAGCTGCCTGGTGAACACCTATCATGTGCCAAGCACTCTGCTAGGCAGTTTACTTTACCATAGCAATTCCAGTTATTGAGCACCTACTGTAATCCAAGCCACCGTGTGCTTGGTGATTTCATTTATTTTTCTAGTTATTCTATTCCAACTACATGCCATAGGCTGAGTATCTTGATTTCACTCATTCTTACCCTAATAGGAGATACAAGTCCTTGAGCACCTACAGTGTACTGGGCACTGTGCTTAGGAATTTCATTCATATGCAAAGACTACACTCAGTGTTTGTGCACCAGCTGCGTACCTAGCACTGTTCTGGGTGATTCTTTTGCTGTGTCATGTGAGCTAAGTTCTGGAGCCCTTCCCCTGTGATCTGTCTATTCCATAAGGTCAGAGCTTCTGCTCTATGCTGTTTCAGTTCCACCCATCTTGGTGGTTTCCCAGCAATGCATTGCAGAGAACCAGGTGAAGGTCACGTGCCAAGCAATGAAGTTCTACCCCCAGCGCCTACAGCTGACCTGGTTGGAGAACGGAAACGTGTCCCGAACAGAAACGACCTCAAGCATCACAGAGAACAAGGATGGGATCTTTAACTGGATTAGCTGGCTTCTGGTGAATTTATCTGCCCTCACAGAGGAGATGGTGCTCACCTGCAAGGTGAAGCATGATGGCCAGTGGGTGGTCACCAAAAGCCATATACTGGAGACCTCTGCCCACCAAAAAGGCCAGTGTACAGATGGAAACTCTGGTGAGACTTGTGCCACATGATCTGGCATTTAAATTTTACCTTTTGTTTTTTTTTTATGTGAAAAAGTCTATAGATATAAACTAGAATTTTGATGTGAGCTCCTTTCTCCCAAAACCCACATTCCAGGATGATCAATGGTAAGACTTGATATACTTGTAGATCTTTTGACATAAATATGCATTAGCGAAAGGAAGAAGAGAGGGAGGGAGATGATCTTGTTGTTAGGGTCCTGCCTCCTGCTTCTTCACCTGACAGTGATTACGTCACAATGCCAGACCAGCTAGCCCCTCCTCTTGTTCTTCTCAACTGGGTGTGATTTTTATTCCTTGTAGACTTTTTCATCATCATCCCAGCAAATACCTCGTAAAACCAGAAGTATGCAGAAGTTGCATCGTGTCCACTAACGACTTAGTCATGGATGCACATCTAGTCGCAAATGGAATCCACAATTCTGTAGTCATGTGATTAATGACATTGCTTTGTCTACAAAACCAATACGATTACACACTTCATAAAATTAACAATAATTCCCTCATATCATCTAAAATGGAATATATATTCCGATTTTCTGAAACATCTACTATAACTTTATTTTCTGCATCTAACTTGGTTTTAGTTCATCTGTAAATGCTTGAACGAGTTTTCCTGTGAAACACCTGGGCCTCCATAATTCTTTTGTTGATTTGAAAAGAATCTGAATGGCTAGGGCTACTCAAATTCTTCTTTCATATTGGATGCTCATGCCAAGTTGTGCTTTTGAGGAATTCGGTCCATTTTCTCTGAGTTGTCAAATTTCTGCCCATAGAGCTGCTCATAATATTACCTTGTTATCCTTAATGTCTGTAGGGTCGGTAGTGATATCCCGTTTCATTCTTCATATTGGAAATGTGTCATTTCTTATAGTGTTTGTTGTCAAAAATCCTAGAAGTGTTTCAAATTTACCAATCTTTTCAAAGAGTCCACTTTTGTTTCAGCGATTTTCTCTATTACTTCTCTTTTCAATTTTATTGTTTTTTCTTTTCTTTTCCCCCCTCCTTTTATGCATTTTTAAATTGTGCCTGACCCTTTTATTCATATCTGTCCTTTTAAAATTTCCATGCCTCTCTGTATTTTTATTGCTGCTGTAATAATTAGCACACACTTAATAGCTTAAAACAACACACATTCATTAACTCCCATTGCTAGAGGTATAAAGACTAAAATAGGGTGGCAGAACTGCATTCCTTCTGGGGGCTCTGTGGGAGTCTGTGTCCTTGCTGTTCCAACTCCTAGAAGCAGCCCCATTCCTCTGCCAAGGCCCCTGCATGCACTAACCTCTGCTGTGGTTGTCATGCCTCTTGCTCCCACTTTCCGGCCTCCCTCCTTCACTTTAAGGGTCTCTGTGGCTCCAATTCCCATAGTCCAAGATAACGATCCCCTCAAGACCCTAGCTAATTACCATGCAGTTGCTCTTGCAGGGTAAGATACCATATTTACAGATTCTGGGGGTGCCAGCCCAACCCTCTTGGGCCAGGCATACTTTGGAAGGGGTTTCAAATCTGTGTCTGGACCACAGGACACATTTCCAGTATTTTCTAATTTAAGCTGGATTTAATATTGTTGAAGGGATTTCCAAATAATTCTCAGGTTCCTTGGCTACCTGCCCTTGTCTGTTTCTCCTGCCCTTTCCTGTGGCTGATGAAGGTAGCAGGGCAATCACATAGGAAATTGTGCATTTGAATTTCATGATTTTTCTCTTTTTCTCCCAGAGATTTCACAGTTTGGGCATTGCTCTTCAAGGACTACTGAGAACCAGTTTTCCATAGAATTTACTGTCCTTTTATTGTTTTTTCTTTGAGTTAAGAGGCTATATTCCGAGATGAGTAGCTAAACTGTTGCCTTGTCCTCACCAGCCAACTAGCACCTTGTGGGCTTTGAATGCCTTGGCCCCAGTGTCCCTATCCCACATTTCAGTATGTCTTTCCCATGTTTCCCATCACAGCCCTATTTTGGCAAACAGGTGCCCTGTAGCCGAGAATTCAATCCTCTCTGTGGCGCTGATGCTCTTATGATTATATCGGACCCAATTATGTCCTCAAGCTTTTTCTGCCCTTCAGCTCTAGGAGGTAACAGTCTACAATGTTGCCTGGAACTCTTCTGACGTTCACAAAGAACTTTTCCTGTGTGATCAATTGGTCTTCACATTGTATTGTCTTTCTGTGAAGGACTGATGCCCAGCAATAGCCACCCAACCTGTAGTTCTTATAATGATCAACTCATTACCAGAATGCAAGGATACTCCCCTCCTCTGCTTATACCAACCCAGGTCACCACAGTGAGGTTTCAGCAGTGACAGTAGCAGGGCAAACTGGGACCTACCCTGCTCTACCTCCCATCAGGGCTGGGGACATCTTGGCCAGCCAGCTGATAGAGACCCATGTCCAACAGTGCCCATTAGAGCTGGCAATCCAAACCCCTCCCAGACAAACCCTACATGTCAGCTTCCCTGGAAGCAGACTCTAAGATGATATGAGAAGAGAGAAAGCTCACTGTGGAGTACTGCTAATCCACATTTGTGAGAAAGGGAAGGAGGCAGGACTGGCAAAGGGAGATGTTAAAAACAGTGCAGTACAGCAAGACTCAGCCTCAGACAGAGAGCTGGCATGCTGGATGCTCTTTTTGAGTATATTAAATCCAGCAGAGGGGCTAAGCCTCTGTATCCCCACGTCCTCCAGACCTCTGCTGAAGGCTGCCCTCTAGAAGCAGGTGCAAACATGGGCAATACAGCTCTTTCAACTGAGAAAAAGTCCAGAGGGCCACCCAGCAGAGATCTGCCATCCTCTAATATGCCAGGGGCAAATATGGTGAGCTCTCTGCTCCTTCCTTTAAAATTATCCCATATATTTCAAAAATTATTTCAATTTCTTTGAATAATATAAAAACAAAAACCAGTCATTGTAAAAAGTTAAAGAATCTGAAGCTGTATTTACAGATCCAACCTCTATGTCAAACAGAAAGATGTCAGCTGACATTGACACTGGGGTCCAGGTGGCCTGGATGGTGTTTGAAACCCTCCTGAGCATTAGACCCCATTTCCTTGCCTCCCCGGTGTGTTGTCCAGCCAGCAGGTCTCCTCACCTTTGTACATAGAGTCTTTAAGCCCTGTGCATGGAGCAAAGCAGGGCAGCCTTGCCTCTCACTGACCATGACATCTATTCTCACTCCACTTGAGGCCAGGCTGACGTTTGTCCCTATGACCCTCAGAGTTTGGATTTGTCTTGGTCCAAAGACAAGTTCTCAGAATCATCCTGCAGGATAGCAGTGAGGAATATCCCTGGGCCTGAACCACCTCATCTTTTGACCCTCTATAAACTATGAGCCTCTTTCCTCATCAGATAGAGGGTATACGACCTACCCAATTGGGTGTGAGGACCAAGCAGTAAGCCAAACTTACATGTTACTGAGTGCTCATTCTCCCCATCTCTTCCCACCTGGCAGTAAGAAAGGGATGAGTGATTGAAGAACTTCTTACGCCAAATTCTGCCTTGAACCTGATCACAGGGGAGGATATTAATGACCTCCAGAGCATTAATAAGTTTGAATCACCTGGGATAGAGTAAATGGAGGCCCCTGGGAATAGGACCTAGATGCCTACTCTGATGGTGCCTCCTATCTCTTCATTTCCAGACCCAGAGCTGTCTACGCTACTCCTGGTAGCTGTCACTCTGGGCCCAAAGCTGCTGCTGCTCATCACTGTCTCTGCCATCTATGCCCACAGAAAGAGAAGATCTGACTGTAAGTTGTGGGTCAGGGATGGCAAGCAAATTTCAGTCCCAGAAGGAGCCAGGTCAGGAAGATGGGCAACACACAGGTCACACAAGGTCAGCACCCACCTGGAGTAAAGAGCAGGGCACATCTATCTCCATACCCTCAGGAATCTCTGGTATCCCTCTGAGATGTTCCAAACTCCCAAGAAACATGTGGGGATCTGTAGGAGGTGGGTGGAGTCAAAGGCTATTAAGGGATTTGCACAGGGTCCTAGGGATTCTGGGAAGGAAGTGGGCAGAGGGGCTGAATGAGAGGCAGCTAGGTGGGAGGAACCCTTGGAGACAATCTCTAAATTATTTGAGCACTGGTGTCCTTTGGGTGCAAGGAGTCCACATCTAAGAGAATGCTGACAGGTGCCAGATGACGGCTCTAAGGATGGCTCCTGCCTGTCCCTCTGTGGGACAGACAAGAGGGAATGGGGATGGGGATCAGGCCCTAAGGGATGAAGGCTTAGGTGGCAGAATCCTATATCAGGGGCTGCCTGTCCTCTCACAACAGGTGTCCCAGGAGGAAAATAGCACCAAGGACATAGGAGACACATGGGGAACATTTCTGGAATGATGAGCAGATAATTAACTGTGGTGAACATGGGTCCTACGGCACCTACCTTCCTCCCCTGCTACATGCCACCCTCAGTGTCTGCTGCCTCCTTCCTTCCCTGAGGGATCCAGCCTAAGAGAAGGAACAACTAGAAGCTTCCACAACAACCCTGCTCCAAATGCCTTGCTTCCCCCAGAGACCCAGCTGCCCACACCTCCTGCTGCTCCTTCTCAGAGTCTTTGATGCTCCCAGAGCTGGGTCTTCATATCAGATCCTCAGCAGGGACCATGGGAACTTGCTCTGGGGACTGATGCAGAGACTTGTGAGAAACAAGTCACATCTACACAGACCAGGTATCTCTCATCCATCTCCTGGAGACTGTGGCCACGAACTACACACTTATGTCCATGCTTTCAGGAGTTATTCCTGCCAAGCCCCAGCCTCCCCAGCCTTGGTTAGGTTCTCCATTGGGTCTTAATAGAAAGCATCCGAGGTATCTTATGGTTTTTGGTGCTATTGTAAATGGAATCATTTCCCTAATTTCTCTTTCTACAGTTGCATTGTTAGTGTATAAGAAAGCAACTGATTTCTGTGCATTGATTTTGTATCCTGTCACATTACTGAATTGCTGCATGAGTTCTAGTAATTTGGGGGTGGAGTCTTTTGGGTTTTCCACATAAAGTATCATGTCATCTGCAAAAAGAGAGAGTTTGACTTCTTCTTTGCCAACTTGAATACCTTTTATTTCTTTTTGTTCTCTGATTGCTGTTGCTAGGACTTCTAGTACTATGCTGAGCAATAGTGGTGAGAGTGGGCATCCTTGACGTGTTCCTGATCTTAAGGGAAAGGCTCCCAGCTTTTCGTTATTGAGGATGATATTTCCTGTGGGTTTTTCATAGATGGATTTTATGAACTTGAGGAATGTTCCCTCTATCCCTATACTCTGAAGAGTTTTAATCAGGAAAGGATGTTGTATTTTGTCAAATGCTTTTTCTGCATCAATTGAGAGGACCATACAGTTCTTCTCCCTCATCTTATTAATGTGTTCTATCACATTGATTGATTTGCAAATGTTCAACCACCCTTGCATCCCGGGGATAAATCCCACTTGGTCGTGGTGGATGATCCTTTTAATGTTTTGTTGGATCCTATTAGCTAGGATTTTGTTGAGGATTTTGGAATCCATATTCATTGGTCTGAAATTCTCCTTTTTGATGGGGTCTTTGCCTGGTTTGGGGATTAAGGAATAAACCTAATCAAAGAGGTAAAGAATCTATACTCTCGGAACTACAGAACACTCATGAAAGAAATTGAAGAAGACACAAAAAGATGGAAAAACATGCCATGCTCATGGATCCGAAGAATAAACATTGTTAAAATGTCTATGCTACCCAGAGCAATCTATACCTTCAATGCTATCCTGATCAAAATTCCAATGACATTTTTCAAAGTGCTGGAACAAACAATCCTAAAATTTGTATGGAATCATAAAAGACCCCAAATCGCCAAGGAAATGTTGAAAAAGAAAAACAAAGCTGGGGGCATCACATTGCCCAATTTCAAGCTATATTACAAAGCAGTGATCACCAAGACAACATGGTACTGGCACAAAAACAGACATATAGACCAATGGAACAGAATAGAGAGCCCAAATATGGACCCTCAACTCTATGGTCAATAATCTTCAACAAAGCAGGAAAAAATATGCAATGGAAAAAAGACAGTCCCTTCAATAAAAGGTGCTGGGAAAATTGGACAGCTATATACAGAAGAATGAAACTCGATCATTCTCTAACACCATACATAAAGATAAACTCAAAATGGATGAAAGACCTCAATGTGAGACAGGAATCCGTCAAAATCCTAAAGAACATAGGCAGCAACCTCTTCGACATCGGCCACAGCCACTTCTTTCAAGATACATCTCCAAAAGCTAGTGAAACAAAAGCAAAAATGAACTTTTGGGACTTGATCAAGATAAAAAGCTCCTGCACAGCAAAGGAAACAGTCAACAAAACAAGGAGGCAATCCACAGAATGGGAGAACATATCTGCAAATGACACTACAGATAAAGGGCTGGTATCCAAGATCTATAAAGAACTTCTCAAACTCAACACCCAAAAAATAAATAATCAAGTCAAAAAATGGGCAGAAGACTTGAACAGACACTTCTCCAAAGAAGACATACAAATGGTTAACAGACACATGAAAAAATATTCATCATCATTAGCCATCAGGGAAATTCAAATCAAAACCACATTGAGATACCACCTTACACCAGTCAGAATGGCAAAAATTGACAAGGCAAGAAACAACAAATGTTGGAAAGGTTGTGGAGAAAGGGGAACCCTCTTACACTGTTGGTGGGAATGCAAGTTGGTACAGCCACTTTGGAAAACAGTGTGGAGGTGCCTCAAAAATTTAAAAACAGAGCTACCCTATGACCCAGCAATTATACTCCTGGGTATTTACCCCAAAGACACAGATGTAGTGAAAAGAAGGGCCATATGCACCCCAATGTTCATAGCAGCAATGTCCGCAATAGCCAAACTGTGGAGAGAGCCGAGATGCCCTTCAACAGATGAATGGATAAAGAAGATGTGGTCCATATCTACAATGGCATATTACTCAGCCATCAGAAAGGATGAATACCCAACTTTTACATCAACATGGATGGGACTGGAGGAGATGATGCTAAGTGAAATAAGTCAAGCAGAGAAAGTCAATTATCATATCGTTTCACTTATTGGTGGAACATAAGAAATAGCATGGAGGACATTAGGAGAAGGAAGGGAAAAATGAAGGGGGGGAATTGGAGGGAGAGATGAACCATGAGAGACTATGGACTCTGAGAAACAAACTGAGGGTGTTAGAGGGGAGAGGGTGGGGGGATGGGTTAGCCTGGTGATGGGTATTAAGGGGGGCATGTATTGCATGGAGCACTGGGTGTTATACAAAAACAATGAATCATGGATCACTACATCAAAAACTAATGATGTATTGTATGGTGACTAATATAACATAATAAAATAAAATTAAAAAAAAATAGAATGCATCCCATCCTGGTTTGCAGAGGAAAAATTATTCTCCTTCCTCTTTGCCTACATATGCTACTCTTCAGTCCCAGCGGGAAGGGTCCCTCCTCCCTGTGATGGGAACACTGTTCTGTCACCTTCATCCTTCCCAACCCCACTGCTCGTGTACTCGAGCTGGCAGTCCAGAAACCTGGAGTCATCCTTAACATTCTTTCTTTATATCCCACATTCAATTCTGCCTTCAGAATGCTGTGACCAGTGGTGGGAGGGTAAATGTGAAACAATCTACTCTCAGAAGGGAAAAGAAGCCTGATTGGTAGTGCTTGTGGACTTCTGTGGTGTCAACACTTCCACTATGACCAATTACAGGCTAACAGTGTTTAACAACTCACTTGCAAAATTCCTGAAAAGCTCTCAGGAGTGAGTGCAAGTCTCCTCCCACACCCCAGTGAGCTCCAGCCAGAATCTGCACACTGCTCACTCCCAGGGCTGCTTCCACCAGCATCCCTTCCTGGACTATTGCTTTTTCTCTAACAGGCTCTCCAGTTTAAGCCACAGTGATTCTATGGAAATGGAAGTCAAACTGTGTCTCTCTTCTACTTCTTCCCCCTATGCACCTGCATGACTCACTCACTCCCTCTTTCAAGCTCTGCTGACATATCACTTTATTAAAAGTCCTTTCCATAAACCACCCTATATAAGATATCAGTTCCTCTCTCACACTCTGTGTTCCCACAGCTCATAACCTAATTAAATTGTTTCCTTAGTACTTATGATTAGCTGACATGATAAGTGCTCACTTTGCACAATAGTGCAGGACAGAACAATGATGGTGCAGCTGAAACCATGCAAAGTCATCTCAATAATCAGTGGGAGAAAAACAATTTTTCTGTGACCTTTAAAAACATTTTTCAAAACACAGAAATTCTCCAACTGTCAGTTATGAATGTATAGAGAAATGAAAAAACAATAAAACTATTATTTATTTGGTGTACTGTCATTTCAAACATTAGAAACACTGAAAAGGGAAGTGTTTTATTTTTTTATAAAGAGTCATCAAGAGTAGTGTGCACAGTGCTTGACCTCTTCTGATCACATAGTTGACCATATAGAGCCAGCATCTGAATCACTCCAGTTTCAACTGGGATCAACTTCCAACATTCCATCCCTTCCACTTTTGATGTTGTGAAATCCTTACAATATTAATTTGAATATTTAATTAATTAATATTTATTAATTGAATAATTATTAATTTGACATTTTCACCCTTTGCCCCCCCCCCACAACCACCACCACGACTTCAGTGATGTTGTAAGTTTGCCTTCACTCTGCTCCTCTGGCTGCATATCCACACTCTGGGGACCAGGATCCCAGTTGCCATTCCCATGGTAGCTATGCCTTCATGAGCCCCACTCACATTCAGTTCAAACTTCACCTCCAGTCTCATCTCTTTTCATTTCTACATCACACTTTCAGCTTTGTGCCAATTCCCTTTTGCCACTATTCACTTTTGTACAATGCCTGGGTTCCTCACTGGGAGACCAGGAGACAACACAACCATCTGCATTGCTCTCTGTGGGAAAGTGAGTAACAGAGTCACAGAGAACCACCACTACAGGCTTTGAAAGATTTGATGCTTACTTATCATGATGAGCACCTGTTAGTTACATAGAGATTGGTGGCCTAAAGAAGAGGTGGCAGCAAAGTTTGTACATCATGCAATTGCTCATGGAAAATTCCTCCATGGGAAATGAAACTGAAACCAAGTTTTGGGGACTGATGGTATTTAACTGACCTGTGGAAACTGACATTCATGCATGTCAACACCATGCAAAGTGAGAACTGCCTGTGTGTGTTTGTCTCTTCCTCAAATAGGATGTGGACTCTGACAGAGAAGGGACTGTCTCAGTCCACAGTTGCCAGACAATGATGGCCATGTTTTAGGCCATCACATTTTTAAAAAATAAATTGGGGAATACTTCCTTGAAGACATCAGTTTTTACAAGATGTCAGATTTTAAATAACATCTTTTTTCATTCCATCATCTGCTGCATGTACCTAAAACCATTTTGTTAAATATTACTACTCTCTTCTTGTGTTTAAAAATTCTATCAGAATTTCTTATCATCCTGAAAGTAAGCAAGTGGAACTTTAAAAAACAAAACAATAACCCACTAATTGGAGTATGTCAAACAGGTACAGGAACCTTCTGGTAGAGCTCCCGATGGTCAAAGTGTAACAGTTTGAGGAACAAATAAGTAAAGTAGTATATCTGGTTCTGTTCTGGTCTGAATGTTCTTGTCCCCACAAAATTCAAGT